CCCCAAAACCCCAAAACCCCAAAACCCCAAAACCCCTTGGCTTATTAATAAGATTGAAGATGTGTAGATTTTTAGCAATATTTTCTCATTCTAAAGATTAAAAACTCTAAAATATGCATAAACTCAAACTCTATTGTTTTCTCTCCTCAAATCTGCCTCTTGGAGGTTCTTCCCTTCTAGAGAAAGGGTTGTTCTTGAGGTTGTACTTTTGGATATCCTTCATCATATTTAAGAATTCGCTTGGCCTGTTAATATAAGAAGAACCAGCAATAATTTGGCACTGAACAGCTCCTTCTTCCTGGATTTTTTGGAGACTTACGATTTCATGATGGGAAAGACCGCCTAGAACAAAAAGAATGATCCTTGGGTTTGAAAGAATGTTTGAAATATCATTGTTATCCCTTCTTTGTCTGCCTCTACGCTTTGCATTATTAGTAATGGCAGGGGCATCGCCTAGGAATGGAAATTCTACTTCACTAAGCTCGTCATTAAAGGAACTTATGGCAATCTTGCTTAACTTAGTAGTCGATCTTAGGATGTCATAGTCACTTTCATCAAGCTTCTTCTTGTAAGTACTGAATTCGCTTTCTGATATCTTCTCAGCTCTTCTCTGAAGCTTCTTCCCTTCCTCAAATTCTGGGAAAAAGTAGGGAAGGTTCTCCAAGATGGCTTCAAAAGCATCATTCTGAATAGATGTGATCATGTTGTATCTATCTTTCTCTGATAGTTCATAACAAGTGAGGTATTGGATGAGCAATCTAGTATGGTCTTCTCTGGTAAGATCTTTACTGATCTTCGTAATCCCTCTAATAATATCAATATTTGTAACTTCTCTGCCTAGCTCATCAACACCTGTGATGATTTTCTGTTCGATTGAGATAAGGTCTTTCCACTTGCAAGCTGTAAAATTGCTCATTACCTCTTGACTAAGCTGGAGATGAAGGAGATATTTCTTCACTAACTCTTTGTAAGTTGTAGCTGCTTCCAAAGCTTCTTGCATATCAAAATTCTCCCCATTCTTAATTTGTTCAGTCTTATCATTATCCACAAAATTGCTGATCTCTGACGAGAGCGAAGTAAGTGTCTCAGCTAGATGCTTAGCTTTGAACTTCATCCAGATTTCGTCAGTCTCATCTAGCTCCACTTTCATGCTGATATCTTCGTCAACGTCACTTGTGACATCGAGTACCTTTTTCTCGCCTTCCTAAAATAAATTACGACAAAAACTTACACTCTCATTTGTATCATAGACTAATGTCTGATATGAGAAATCATGCTGGATGGGAGCAATGAGATCGAAAGATCTGTCAACAATGATGAGCTTAGCCCTTGGGTTCCTAGACTTGTCTCCTCTCTCACTCTCCTTCAATCTTTCATAAAATTCATCACTGTTAGATTTCACAAATTCTGCAAGTGTTTTAGCGAATTTTGAGTCGGATTGGTATTGAATATATGGCTTCTCCAGCAAGATAGAACAAACTGTAAATAATTGATACCCAATAACCTCAAGCAAACTTGTAGTCCTGATGTCATTTAACTCACTGTTGAACAGATAAAAAGCCTCTGGCTTGTTAAGAGTAAAAATGTTATCTTCAAACAGGTAGAATTGCATATTAATCTCCTTGCTTGTCTTTAATCTTGACATTAAGGCTTTACAATCAAGGATCATCTGGATTTGTTCCTCTGAAACATGACCTGCAAATCACAAATGTACTGCTCCATATTGAATCCTGGCAGGATTTGAGAAATCTTCAATAAGTTTGTCAATGCTCTCTTTTGAAGGCGAGATGAAGTATATCGCATCGGTCTCTTGATATCTCTTCCTCTTAAGACTTAACTTCTCAATCTGATATACTTTATACAAAAAGAGGTCATGTATCGAACAAGTTTGCCTGAATATCTTCGTAGTAAGCTCATCCAGCACCATTACCAAATAATCTTTCGAAAACACTGCATTCTTTTTCACCGCCTCTATCATTTCATTAAGTATCCTAAACTTAGCATACCCTCTCAGAGTAATCACCCCACTTTGTCCACTCTTATCCATTTCCAATATTATTACTATCACTCGGGGTTTTGGGGTTTTGGGGTTTTGGGG